AATATTAATCTTGAATTAACTTATCTTCTCTTTATTATATGATATTCCTCTGTTTGTTGTGTGATATATAAATTACCTGAAAATGTAACAAGGTTTTGGATATGGTAACCTGTAAGATGTAGAACTGAATATGCTAACTTCTGTTGCCTGTCATACTAAATTGAGTACAAATTGCCAAAATCATTGTTTAATCTATTAATTCTTATTTGATCCTTTTAATGTTTATGACACTTGAAATTGGAGTTCTAAAACAAGGAAATATATATATCATTCATATTGACTTGTGAAATCTATTTCTGCTGAATTTGACTAGTGGCATGAATGAGCTTCTTGCCTGCACTCTGCCTGGGGGGGAATTGTATACCTTATGTGGCCTTAATCAAATAATTTATGGTTCTTGTGCTAAGGGAACATTTGACCTGGACCCATCTTATTGCGACAGCCAATGGTTTCCTGGCTCTTATTGCATGTAATGAATCTGGTATAATATAACATTTTTAGTTTATACACATGAGTAAGCAATGATGTTTAACATTTTCGTCAAAAGATGTTTTAGTTATTAATTCTGAGATATTTTATACTGCCTCCTTTTATTTCCAATAATTGAATTTACCTGATTGTACCAGTTCTACATTGACCTCTCTCTTCGGGGTCAAATTTTGAACTTTAAAATGTCCTTAACTTTTATCATGATCTGAAACTGCTAAATTGTCCTTATGTGCAAATTGGCAGAACTACTCATCCATTGTTACAGTGCATCCCGAGGTCATTGATGGCAGACCAGGATCATTGGTGATCGAGTCCTTTGTAGTGGATGTACCAGAAGGGAACACCAAGGATGAAACATGCTACTTCGTCGAGGCACTGATCAAGTGCAACCTCAAGTCACTGGCCGATGTGTCAGAGCGCTTGGCTGTTGAGGATCGGACCGAGCCAATAGAAAGAATGTGAAAAATCCAGGCCTGTACCGACACCACCAAGGTAATCGTTGTGGGGGTGATAAGTGAGATACTCTTGTTATCAGAAGCTGAATAGACAATTTGGGCTTTCCTGCTAGCAGAGTGAACAACTATTTCCTTACATTTTTATGCTTCTTGTTTTGATTAGAACAATGATCTTTCGGTGTCTTATGTTGATAGTTGCTGACAATTAAACTCATCCGCAGCCTACGGATTTAGTAAATGATGAAAAACGGATCGAAAATTTCTCTGTGGTGTTTGTCTAATGGGGGTGGTGAATCGGTATTTGTTTGTAAATATGTAAGCAGGATGGATACCTTTATGTTCATATCTTTAGTTTTGCGTGTTATATAAGAAGGCAGGTTTTAGTTGAGAGTTTGATTGGATTTCATTTTGACTAAAGGGAAGTCTACATAATTATGGGCTCAACATCCAGAGTTCTTGGAAAAAGAAAGGGTGAAGTATATCAAAGGTTATTGAACTATGTTTATGTTTAAATGATTGTTTTGATTATTAAGTTCATAAAAATTATTAAATAATTATTAAATATTTTAAATGGTTATAAAATATCAATAAATTTATTGAGGTATTATAGAATAATTATTAATTTTTTATAATGTCAGATTATTTTGTACAAATTTAATGATTACTTTATAGGCTTTAATTAAATTGATTGGATATAGATTATTAGATTTTTTTATAATGTCCATTAGCCCTTTTTGTATAATATTAAAGTTGTGGAGGCCAACCATTCCGTTAATACATTACACGTAAAGAAAACAAGATTTAATCTCTGAGGTAACAACAAAAACATACGATCCAGCACTGTCCGTCGATTAACAGGGTCATCCCCGTTTGCCGTAATCACGGTGGGAAGTGAAACCTCCGGCGGAGTGAAAAACGTTTGGGCCGGATAACATAGTTCTTTACAACCCCGGAATTGGTGTTAACCTCAAGAGAACAAAAAACCAGGATGGGCGAGGATTTCCATGGATTCCATTTCTCGGGAGCCTCATAAAACGTCAAACCAAGTAATTACCATTTACCACCACCATTCCCACTCAAATGTTCGATACCAGCAGCATGAAACAACGCTATCCAATCTTTCAACCCCTTGGATTGAAGAAAAAAATAACAAAAGCATGTATGATTGCCATCAACTCTGCCTCATCGGAGTCGCGTATTGTTCATCTTGCGCCACACAGAGAATCCTCGCTAGGTCTAGTTTTGCAGACCCCAATAGAGAACATGGAGACCGGTTCAGGCCAAGGCCGAAATTCAATCCTCAATACCACGATGATCGTAGAGCAGGTGATTCTTGTGAAGTTCATGGGCCGACGCTGTCTCTAGAGGAGGTTTTCAATGCGTCCGTCCGTGTTATAGGAGAGAACAGCCGTGGTTCGATCCAAAAAAACGGTGTTACTAAACGGTACACTTTCCGTTCTAAAGAGGAAAATACTACTACATGACCTTTGTAGATGATTACTCGAGATACACAAAGGTTTATCTCCTTAGAACTAAAGGCGAGCCTGAAATCTTATTCCTTATTTATAAGGAGGAAGTTTAGAATCAGTTAGATAGAAGAATCAAATGACTTAAATCTGATAGAGGTGGTGAATACAAATCAAATTGATTAAAAAGGGTGTGTGAGAATAATGACATAATTCATGAAACTTCATCCTCTTATTTTTCTCAACAAAATGGTATAGCCGAAAGGAAAAAATAGAACTTTAAAAGAGATGATGAACTCATTGTTGATAAGTTTCGGGTTATCTGTAAACATGTAAGGGAAACCATTCTATCGGTAAATCATATTTTAAACCGAGTACCTTATAAGAAATTAGATTCTACTCCATACGAGTTGTGGAAATGATACGCTGCAAACCTACAATACTTGAAAGTGTGGGGGTGTCTGGCTAAAGTAGGATTACCAGATTTTAAGAAGTCCACCATCGAACCTAAAATCGTTGATACAGTGTTCATAGGGTATACTACAAACAACGTCGCGTAAAAATTCATGCTTCTACAAGACTATTCTATTTGTGAGTCGAGAGATGTCATTTTCTTCGAAGATTCTTTTCCTTTAAAGAAATCTAAATTGAATGAAGAAACGCAAATAGAAAACTTTTCATCCACTTCTTCTAGTGTACCATCTAGGTCTACTCAAGAAATTGAATTCGAACCTATAATAAGTAAAAGACAAAGAACCGAAACCTCTTTTAAACCAGATTTCATAACTTCCTTTTATTTCTGAGATAAATGATTTAGACTCTCTTTTTGATCCTATAGCTCAAATATTTCTATTAGATGAGGATCTTAAGACTTATGAGGAAGTTATACGATCTATCGATGTTAGTTTCTGGAAAAGCGCTATCAATGATGAACTAGAATCGATAATGTTTAATCATACTTGGGAATTGGTTGACTTGCCTATGGGATTTAGAACTATCAGCAACATATGAGTCTTTCGGAAGAAGCTGAGGCCAAATGGTTTTATTCAACAGTACAAGGTAAGGTTAGTCGTCAAAAGGTTTACTCAAAAGTTCGGTATACACTTCTTCGATATCTACTCTCTCGTAACGAAAATTTCAACGATTCGAGCATTATTTGTTTTAGCTTCCATTCACAAGTTGCAAGTATATCAAATGGATGTAAAGACCGCATTCTTGAACGAAGACTTAGATGAGGAGATATTTATGGAGCAACCTCTTGGTTTCGAGGCACATGGCATGGAAGGCAAAGTATGTAGACTTAAAAAGTCGCTTTACGACCTCAAACAATCTCCTAAATAATGGTATGAGAATTATCACATAACTATCCTTAGTTTTGATTTTTTTTGTGAATGGTTCGAATGCATGCGTGTATTAGAGGATGTTTGGTGCTTATTGTGTCATCATAAGTTTGTATGTTTATGACATGTTGATTTTCAATACTAGCATTGAGTCCATTAACAAAACAAAAGATTTCTTGTCTACTAAATTTGAGATGACCGATTTGGGAGAAGTTGACGTCATCTTAGGAGTCACAGTCACCAGAACTGAAAATGAATTTTCTTTAAATCAATTACACTATATTGAAAAGGTGTTAAAAGAAATTTGACAGTTTTTACGTTGTCTCTGTTTGAACTCCTTATGACCCTAGCATACATCTCTTTAAAAATAAAGGAAGTAGCGTTTCTCAAACCGAATATGCTAAAGTGATCGGGAGCCTAATGTTCTTAATGAACTATACTCGACCTGATATTGCCTACGTTGTGAGAAGACTTAGTAGGTATACCAATAACCCAAGTGGTGAGCATTGGTTTGCTCTCAAACGTTTACTTAAGTACCTTAAGGGTATAATAGACTGAAAACTTGAGTTTGTTAGCTATCCTGCAGTACTGAAAGGATATTGTGACGCCAACTGAGTTTCTGACAATGATGAAGTAAGCTCTACAACCAATTATTGCTGAACATTGTATAAGCTCTTAATTATTTCAAAACCCGCCACTTTCCATTATGGTGCTCGTGCTCGTGGCTCATGGCAATACGTGTCTTCGACACGTCCGTGCGGTTGCTATATTTTTAGAGAAATTTCGTAAGGAATTTTTCTCTGAAAGAACAAATATCAAATTTACGCTTTAATATATGAAAATTAAACATGTCAGTTTCGGAAATTAAAATTCAAACAATGAAACGTTGGATGAATATGGATGCTTTTTTTGGATGAATTTGGATGTTTTTTCAGGTGTGTTCAAAGCTATTTATTGTGTCAGTAATTATAAGAGTTACAAAGTTAATTACCTGGAGTTATAAAAGGCTGAGAGTTACTACATGAACCTAGACTGATTTAAGGCTAGATTCATCTCTGAGGTTGCAACGATTTCAGACAGAATTTCAATGAAGAAATTAAATCAGAATTATATCTGATTTATGATGGACCATTTTGCCCCTGCTTAGGCTATTCTAGCTTCTCAATTCACCAATTCACCAAAAAAAACGTATTTCAATACTCTCAAAGCTTTCTAAGCTTCTGATTTTTTCTAGTAAGGAGCAGTACCATAAGCAATCTACTCCAGTTCCGAGTGTACGATATTCGGTGTGACCATGTTAATCTCGGAGGATAATCTGTCTATTGGAGCGATTACACACATCGAGACGACTTCGTTTTTCCCCATTGCACAGTATAATCCAGCAAAAACCCAAAATCGAGAGGCGTCCACTACGCGCAATAAAAGCCCAAAAGGCTCTAAAATGGTGTTGGATGTGTTGGCGAAGCTGGGAAGTTCTTAGAAATGGCGGGGAACTAAAGCAGCATTTGGCGCCAAAGGAACTTCATTTTTTTTAATATTTGATAGGATTGATTATTCGTTCAATTTGGGAAAACGAAAAGGAAGTGAAATCGTTCCGGCAATGGCTTCTTCACCGCCTTCAAAGCGAAGACGGAAAGGGCAAACCGTGGTTGGAGAATCACCGTCAAAATCAACGTCGACCCAAGAAAAATCATCCCCTGTGGTAGTCTTTGCACATGGCGCTGGTGCTCCTTCCTCTTCTGATTGGATGATCAGGTCCTTTTTTCTCCCTTTATAAGGTTAATCGTGGGGTTTTGTTAAATGGTTAAGTGAGTTGAACCTTTGCAGGTGGAAAGAGTTGTTGAAGAAGGCGTTGAATGCTGTTGAAGTAGTGACATTTGATTACCCTTGTAAGTTCTCTTCTCGGCTTAATCCTTTTCTTTTCAAATCATTTTGAATGTAAGGGATTGTTGTGGTATTTGCAGATATGTCTGGGGGAAGAAGAAAGGTTCCACCCAAGGCAGAAAAATTGGTAGATTTCCACTCAGGTGTTGTTAAAGATGCAGTTTCCAAATATACTGGGCATCCTCTGATTTTGGCTGGCAAATCAATGGGTTCAAGGTACAATACAACTGTGCTGCCATTTGTATTCGGCTAATGTCTGCGCTTGGTGAACTATTTAAGGTTGGCTAATCTATTAATTTTATAGAAAAGAACATTGCCAATGCATTCTGTCATATGGATTTAAGGGACACTAATGACTAATCCTGGTGTTGATATTCACATTTTTCTTTAAGATTGCTTGCTTGTATGTCCTATTTTAAGGCCATGTTTCTTTGTAGAGTGAGCTGCATGGTGGCTGCCCAGGAAGACATTGATGCATCATTAATTGTTTGCCTAGGATACCCACTTAAGGTTCGTCATTTTCTCACACTGTGGTGCTGCTCTGGTTTTGAAATTTGCATACATGATATCCATGGTTTGTTTTAGTGTATCTCATGAAGACATGCAATGGTTTTATCTGTTTATATCGGATCGATTCCGTCTTCTGTTGTAGGTTTCCCAAGGTTAATCCGACAAGCTGTTTCGGTTTATTCTGTTGATCTTTATAAAGGTCTTTCACAACTCATGAACACAGTACTCAATTAGAATGTACAACTTTACAGTATGAACAATGGGGGTTGTCTTTATGAATGAGGATGGGGTCCTTTTGGACTAGGGCAGGAACCGATGGCTTTTACCCTGAGGAGTCGTATTTTAACTTTTGTGATGCAACTTGGAAACTGAATCGGACTTTATTGACGATAAATTCTTGCTTAACTGTCAGGGGATGAACGGAGCAGTAAGAGATGAAACTTTACTTCGACTTAAAGTTCCTGTGATGTTTGTGCAGGTACTCTTCTCACCTTAATACCTGGTTCTTTACATGAATGATGTGGTTGTCTTCATATTTTCATCTTTTTGTTGTACAAAAAATTCAAAGAGTTTGACTGATAAAATGACACTTTTGACTGATAAAATGAAACTTCTAAACTCGATTAACTTGAATTTTTTCACTCAACTTGACTCGATCGAATACTCATCCTTAGGTACGTTGATATGGGCAGCATGATATCATCTTTATCAAATATGCAGCATGGGGTTTATGTAGAGTGGTTTTAAGTTATAATGCTATAACTTATTTTGGCTTTGGAACATGAGCTTAGGGTACCAAAGATGGTTTATGTCCATTGGAAAAACTAGGTGTACAGAAGAAAATGAAGGCAATGAGTGGGTTGCATGAGATTGAAGGTGGCGATCACTCCTTCAAGATTTCAAAGAAGCACCTCCAAACTAATGGATCCACCCAAGAGGAAGCCGAAGATGCTGCCGTTCAAGCCATCGCTTCATTCTTCACCCGCTCTCTCAGATGAAGCCGAATCCTTCTGCTGCTTTCTAAGTTACTTTTTAAAACCTTTAGCCTGCAAGTCCCAGGGTTAGGTTCAAACGCTCCCTTTTCCCCTTGGCCGTGTACAATTTTAGCAAAGCCATGGAGCAAGCCCTACTCTTTCACATCTACTGTATGTAATTGATGTGTAATTTTAAAATCCAGACATTTTTCAGTTAAACTGGATTAATAATAAGGCTGTCGGAATCTAGACATTATTCATGTTATAGAACTTAAACATCGAGTACTAGGTGGCTTTATCATTTTCAAGCTTCATTATTTTGTATTTGTTTCTTTTTTGAATGTTTGTACTAGCTAACATTTGCTTTGTGACATTTGGGTTGTAAAACGAGTATTGGACTACTAGGGTAAATATGTGCATATTAATATACTAGCATGATGGGTAACATAAATGGGCTTTAAAGGGATTCGAGCTTGATAAATGAGTCGAGTTTGATATAGTCAAATTTGATGGTGTAAAGATATGATAAGGTGACATGAATATAAAATATAATCTTATTCATATTTGATGATACGAAAATAAGATAAGGTGACATGATTATGTGATATGATCTATTCATATTTTGTGATACAAAAATAAGATAAAGTGACGTGAATATAAGATATGATCAAGTGACTCGGATTGGTGTAAAAGTTACTATCTGTTAAATATATGCATATATATTGACATTTAATGAAGATAAAAAGCTTATCAAATCAATATAATAGACCTATAAATATTAGTTGTAGTGTATTGTTGTTCTACAAGAAGTAGAAATAGAGAGTTGTAAAATAACATCATTCATGGCATTAACACATTCTCAAATCTTCATAGCACTCTTGATTGTTTCTTGTTTTGTTTCAACTGTTGTGTTAGGGTATAGGACCAACGATGTCAAGTGGTGGTGCGGCAAAACTCCCAACCCAGTGCCGTGCGAGTATTATTTGAGCAAAAATATGATGATCAAAGATGAGGTTCATTTCCTCAAAATCTCCATGCAACTGGCCTTAGACCATGCCATTCATGCCCAAAGCAACATTCATTCATTGGATCCCAAGTGCCGAAACGAGCTCGAAAAGGCTGCATGGTCCGATTGTTTAAAGCTCTATGAGCTAACCATACTTGGTCTCAACAAAGCTGTAGACTTCAGCCCCAATGTGCAGAGACACGACCGTCAAACATGGCTTAGTGCGGCTTTAACCAACCTCGAAACGTGCCGGGATGGGTTTATCGAACTAGGTGTCTCCGATTACCTTCCTCCCATGATGTCAAATAACGTGTCCGAGCTAATCAGTAACACCATGGCTCTCAACAAGGCACCTTACAAGGAACCGACGTACAAAGATGGGTTCCCCACGTGGGTGAAACACGGTGACTCAAAGCTGTTGCAGTCATCATCGTCGCTGGCTTCTCAAGCTGATATCGTAGTAGCGCAGGACGGTTCGGGGATTTATAAGACGATAAATGAGGCGATATCGGCCGCTTCTAGCCAGTCCGGGAGTGGAAGGTACGTGATATACGTGAAGGCTGGTACGTACAGTGAGAACGTTGAGATAGGAAGTGATCTGAAAAATATTATGATGGTGGGCGATGGTATGGGGAAAACTATTATCACAGGGAACAAAAGCGTTGGAGTTGAAAAAATCAGTACGTTCAATACAGCCACTGTTGGTGAGTAAAATTCTGCATGATTTACTTATCGCTATATAATTTTTTCTCATACCTTGCTAAGTATTAATAGAGCAATTACATTGATGAGATTTGATCTGCATTTCAGGTGTTGACGGAGAATCGTTCATCGGTCGTGACATTACGTTCAGAAACACCGCCGGTCCTAATAACGGACAGGCAGTGGCTCTCCGTTCAGGATCCGATCACTCGGTGTTCTACAGATGCAGCTTTGAAGGGTACCAAGACACTCTTTACGTTTTTTCCCATAAACAATTTTACAGAGAATGTGACGTCTACGGAACAGTGGATTTCATATTTGGCAAAGCAGCTGTTGTGCTACAAAACTGCAACATATATGCTCGGAATCCACCGAGTAAAATCAACACCGTGACCGCCCAAGGCCGGTCCAACGTCAACGACACCTCTGGAATTACTATACAGAACTCAACAATTACTGCAGCCTCGGATTTAAAACCTGTGCAAGGCTCTGTCAAAACGTTCCTAGGGAGGCCATGGAAACAATTTTCCACGACTGTTATCATCAAAACCTTCCTGGATACCCTAATTGACCCCGCCGGTTGGATGGAATGGAATCAATCCCTCGACACGCTGTATTATGCCGAGTACATGAACACCGGCCCCGGTTCCTTCACCTCCAATAGAGTCAAATGGAAAGGTTATCACGTTCTTACCAACGCAACCGAGGCATCAGCGTTTACGGTCGGGAATTTTATCGACGGGAATTCTTGGCTGCCTACCACCGGTGTGCCTTTCACTTTGGGGCTTTAATTTGTATTATGAAACTGCCGCCGGTAACATAAATAAGCGGTAACTGTCCAATATGTTATACTAAAATGCTTCATTTATGTACTTTGTAATAGTTCTCTCATCGTTATTATTATGAACAAAGAGATGAGACATTAAATATTTTAAATAAATTATAGAACTTAAAGCCTACTCTCTTCCAATGTATTATTTTTGGCACTCTTTAAGACCCTATAAATTACTCTAAGATTGTTTTCTTTATTATTATTATTATTATTATTGAGATCATTCAATGGATTATGGATGCTATGCTAATTCATTTCATTTGACAAAGTTCTCGTCTCCAGCCCTCCAAAGCTTGTTTTCCAAAACACAAAAACAGCACAACAAAATCCAGACATTAAGCAGTTACACTGGCATTCTCGTATTTACATTTGGAATTACAACAACAAAAAAACAAAGTTACAGAACACATATCATCCTACTCGTCATCGGAAGAAAGCTTCTGTTTTTCCATTTATAAGCGGCTTCTAAAATCTTGAGGTTCGTCGCCTGGTTTTCTTCGGGGAATACGTAATCGATACATTCTTCGTACCTGTAAAAGCCAAATGATTCAATACTTAGGGGTTGTTTGTTTACTTCAGAATGATTAAACGTTGAATGATTTAAATATTCAGAGACTATGTATGAATTAACTCTGAATGTGACATGTTGTTTGATAATAACTCTGAATCATTCAGAATATACTTCTGTGTTGAATCATTCAACACTGTTTTGCTGAATCATTAAGATGTGAGTTCCAGCAGAATACAGACATGCCAATACTAGTGGAAGCAAAGTAAATGGTGCGACTGCGAGTTACGTACCCAGAGACGCCACCTTCTTCACTCGTTATTCGCTTCCTCTTTTTGAGTTCCTTGGGAAACTTAGACTGGACCACGCTTACGTCACCAAGCTCCCCAAAACTGCTTTCCGTGTTAAGCCACTCTTCCAGGAGCATAGCACGATCTTCTTTCAATTCCGGTGCCGATGTTCTATAGTAGTTGATTGCTCTTTCAAAGACTCCTAGTGAAAAATATAATAAAACAGAAGGTAAGAATTTATTTTACTACTAATAAATCATCAAAGTAGATGTGATTGGATTGGTCCGGACTCTCACCACTCGCACGCTGAGCGCATCCCTTCTTTGCACATCCAGATCCTCATCATTCTCCTTCGCGTAGGCTTAAAACTTGGCATAACTAATCCACACCTTCAAACTTCGCGTAGATTTCGAGTCTTCATTTTTCTTAAAATATTCGTATTCGACATTCAAAAAAATTTGTCAATGATCAGAAAACCACATGTGGACGACTGGATTTTATGTTATTTACGATTATCTTAAGCTTGAAATGATTAAAAAAAATGGAGGAAACACGTGGGGAATTTGGCCCTTAAGAACCTTGACAAGGCATTAAGATAAGAAGAATAAAGTATAGGTGCTTAGGCTTCTATCTTTAGCCATGCATGAATGTGATTTGTTTATCCTTAATGTCAACGCTAAGATTAATTCTCCATTGACATTCCTTTGCCTTTTAATCTCTAAAACCACTTGCATATCTTGCAAATTGGACAAAAGGGCCAGCCTTTGATACTGGAATTTGTGCCTTTTTTTTCTCCCCATTGCACAGTATGATCCAGCAAAAACCCAAAATCGAGAGGCGTCCACTACGCTCATTAAAAGCCCAAAAGGCTCTAAAATGGTGTTGGATGACGTGTTGGCGAAGCTGGGAAGTTCTTAGAAATGGCGGGGAACTAAAGCAGCATTTGGCGCCAAAGGAACTTCATTTTTTTAATATTTGATAGGATTGATTATTCGTTCAATTTGGGAAAACGAAAAGGAAGTGAAATCGTTCAGGCAATGGCTTCTTCACCGCCTTCAAAGCGAATACGGAAAGGGCAAACCGTGGTTGGAGAATCACCGTCAAAATCAACGTCGACCCAAGAAAAATCATCCCCTGTGGTAGTCTTTGCACATGGCGCTGGTGCTTCTTCCTCTTCTGATTGGATGATCAGGTCCTTTTTTTCTTCCTTTATAAGGTTAATCGTGGGGTTTTGCTAAATGGTTAAGTGAGTTGAACCTTTGCAGGTGGAAAGAGTTGTTGCAGATGGGTTTTGATTACCCTTGTAAGTTCTCTTCTCAGCTTAATCCTTTTCTTTTCAAATCATTTTGAATGTAAGGGATTGTTGTGGTATTTCCAGATATGTCTGGAGGAAGAAGAAAGGCTCCACCCAAGGCAGAAAAATTGGTAGATTTCCACTCAGGTGTTGTTAAAGATGCAGTTTCCAAATATACTGGGCATCTTCTGATTTTGGCTGGCAAATCAATGGGTTCAAGGTACAATACAATTGTGCTGCCATTTGTATTCTGCTAATGTCTGCGCTTGGGGAACTATTTAAGGTTGGCTAATCTATTATTTTATAGAAAACAACATTGCCAATGCATTCTGTCATTCAAGTCAAAATTTTCTAACTGGAATGTCTGTTCTAATTATGATTTTGCTCTTAATGGAAGGATTTGGGTTCTTTGGAGGAAAGGAATAGACTTATCTATCATTCAAGTCTCTGACCAGAGTATCACTGTTCAAGGTTCTTTTTCTTGGAACTCCTTTGTTTATAACGACTATTTATGGCAGCAATGAGGGCTCAGTCCGAAGACAACTTTGGCAGAAGTTACAAGAAGTGGATAGAATTATCAATCTCTCTGGGTCCTAGGAGGGGACTTTAATGTTATTTTGCACTCTAATGAAAGCTCGGATCATGAGTCTTAGGTCATTATCTTTCTTCTGATATGAAAGATTTCCAAGACATCACTCAAGAGCTTCATCTCCAAGATCATCTTTATTTTGGGCCTTCTTTTACTTGGAGTAACAAGCAGCAGTAATTTTATCTCGAAAGGAAACTTGATAGGGCTAATTCTTTTACTTGGATTAACTCATTTTGGGCTAATTCTTTTCAACATTCTTTTGTCGAACTCCTTGCTCCAGGAATTTCGACCATTGTATGGCTGTTCTTTGGCTCTACAAAGAGCTTTTAGTTAATAAGCCTAAGCCATTCAAATTCTTCAATTTTTGGACCCTTCATCCTAGCTTCATGATAGAGGTTAGGCAATCATGGCATGATTCTGCTCAAGGCAACCGTACGAAGGTTCTCCTTATTAAATTAAAGAGACTTAAAGTCTGCCTAGAGAACTTAAATATTATTAATTACAGTAATCTATCGGCTCGGGTAAAACAAAAGAGAAGTGAGTTGGATCTTCAACAACTTCTTACCTTAAAAGGAAAAAATGTTTTCAGTAAAATAAATGGATCTTTAATTATTGGGAATTAATTAGAGAGAGAAAGGGAACAAACACATGGGCGAATCCGAACATAAGCAGATGGCGCCAACCAATATGACAGGCTATATAATTAATAATTATATTCTTCCGGTAATCATAGAGTATTTTGAAACGAACACAGAAGTATTGTATTTTAAAACTATTTTTTGTTTTAATATAAATTTTGAATTTCATATATAATATCAGGTTCAACCCTTTCTCGCCAATCGTTTCAAAAGATCAATTCAGCCTCTCTTTCTCTCTCTGCTAGGCTGGCGAGCCGTTGCTCTTTGAAACATTCGACATTCGAGGGACAGACACCTGAGAGAGAGAGAGAGAGAGAGAGAGAGAGAGAGCATTTTGTTCGATCTTATCTGGAAAGGAAGAATGGCGGTTTCCAAGGAGTCTTTTGTGGCTGGTTTTGCAGCTCTTGTTTTTGGCTTTTTGCTATAGCAGCCTTGCCGTTGACGCACAGTCCTCTGCTCCCGCTCCTGCTCCTGCTCCCACAAGCGACGGTTAGTTCTCTGGTTCTTTCTTTCTTTCTTTCTTTCTCTCTCTCTATTGCTCTTTAGATCTGACTTTCCATATCAAATGCCATTCGATTGAATGATTTCTTTTTCTGTTCTTTTGAAATGCTTGAATGGGGGCGACAGGGACGTCGATCGATCTAGGGATTGCTTACGCGTTTATGCTGGTTGCGCTGGTTCTAACCTACCTCATTCACGCTGCTGATTTCTGCTTTAGCTTTTGAGGGCTTGCGTTTCAATTCAAGATTCTTTGTGGTTTTCGTAGATTTGGTGATGGTGTGAAACCATGATTCTTTCAGATTTGGGTCTAAGCTGCAACTTTAAGAGAATGATGCGATTTTAGACGAATTAATTGTTGGATATTGATAATGTCATTTAATGTTTGGTTTCGTTATCACCCATATTTTCTTTTCTTTTTCTTTGTCATGTCTTCCATTTTTGTCTCAACTTGTCTAGCGACTCTCCATGTTTGTTATTCGAAAGCTGTAATATTGCTGTTTTAGCAAGACAGGCCATGTGGAAGCAAAGGTGCAACTTGTTCACTCTACATACAGAAGGAAAAGCATATTGCAAATAAAAATTAAACTCATCATTTTCAAAAGGTATATAATTCTTTGCACCATACAATAAACACGAAACCTTTCTTCCTCCGTCCCAATTGAATCTGGCAATTTCAGAATTTCAAATCTCGTACTAAAATTTCACTAAGCCGCCAAATCAGTCTAACATATCAATCATCTTTTCGCGAACAAACTCGATAAACTCAATGGACTTCAACCAATGATATCTTAAACTTTGCGGAGAGCTGAAGCCGGAGTTATAGCATCTGAACCTGATCAGCTTTTTCCACAAGGAAAATAAACGGGGGGAAGGGACCGAAAACAAGGAGTATGTAGGAGAGTGGGGGCTTTAAAGTTTGAAATATAATTTCCATACAAACAAATAAAGCAGCAAATGTGTTTTAAAGAGGGCTTGGTTCAGCACACAAAGTGCAGAGACAGACCACACATACTGATTCATTGATTTATACATATTAATTTAAAGATCAAAGCCACATGGAATAAAAAAAGCCCTCCTCTTACATACATATTAAACACTAACCCATAGCATACTTCTGGGTCCAGCTCCGAGCAGTTGTCTCATACTTGCT